CTGCACGTACAGCGCGGCAACACTAGCACGCACTCGTCGCCGCGAGGACCCGTGGAGGAGGGTTTCAGCCACGAGTACGTCATCAGTCGGCGCTTCAGCGAGTTCAAACAGCTCCACTCGGCGCTGGTTCCGGTCATGGGTGACGCATTGACGCCACTGCCGGCCGACGGTCTCATGACGCTCATTATGGCGGACAACCAGGCATTGCTGGACGAACGTCGTCAGGTTCTGGCCCAGATTGTCATGGACATTCTGAACCACCCGGTGGCGCGTGACTTGCCGGACGTGCTGGAATTCCTGGGCCACGAGTCGATCAGCGCCAAGGTGATGGCTCCACTGTCGGGTCAGTGCACGGGCTCGATCCGCAAGACGTCTTGCCCCGCGTGGACGGCGCCGTGCCGGGCGTCCGTCATGTCGTCGTAAGACCACCACAACTCGGGCAACTTTTGACACGCGAGTGAGCAAACAAGCAGCCGCCATCGCAGCGACTAGCACGTTTGCGCACGCGTAGGATAGTATTTAACCACGAATGTAGAATAGCAGTAGTAGACAAGCAAGCATCAATGAATAAAAGTCAATCCATTCAATTTGCTTTGATAAGAGCCATTGCGACGTACAGCGGTTGTTCCAATGCAAGTCCATGGCAATATCCTCCCGTGGGATGGTTGTGAGGTGACAATATCGGGTACTTTCACTACAGTTGCTGGGCTACGATGCTATTCATCGATCACCATGAGGAAGAATTCTGTCAAAGACCAGTCTTGTCGACTGCGAAATGTTCTCCACGGATGGCCTACTGTCAGAGGTCGGGGCCCAAGACGGTGGGTGTTCTGTAGTGGGCGATGAAACACCCATATCTCCTCTTAGACCAGTTCTTAAAGAGCAGCAAACCGAGATGGCTGCTGCTGACTACGACAGATACTGGCTAATGGCCGCCTAGCAACGTGCAAGTACAGGATACCTGTAGCAATGCTCATCGATGCGCGCGAAGCGATGAGCAGCCGCTGGAGGTCTTCACTTCGCGCAGGATTTAAGAAGAAGATTCATGCACGCCAAGGAACTTTCTAGTTTGGTGGAATGTTCAAGAAATTAGTACGGCTGATTCATTGTCCAGGGCACACTAAGCTAGCGGTTAACCGCACTAACCATTCCGACTCGCTGTCAGCTTTCGAAACGAGTCTTGCCAAGATCACGCGCGTGTTCATTGAATAGTTAAAGTCCCTCGAAGTTCCACGTGACGGCGTTGGCAGTGATACGACTCGAAGTTCGGGTCTGGAACCAGGTATACCACAACACGTTCTCTGTTTGGAAGTTGAAGTGGCAGCACTGACGGCAACGCTGAAAGTTTTGCTGCTTTTGTCAAGCAGGGCGTTGCTCGAATGCTCATACCAGGGTGAAGTGCACTCGTGGCGACGTCACCTTCGACTAGCAGGAAGGCAATGCCACGCATGACGAGCAGCTCGCTCACAGGTGCGAGTCTATTGCATCGCCGCGATGAGCAACGTCACCAAGAGGCACGCGAAACCCAAGCAGAAGCTCCTCGGTCGCATACCGCGTGCGTGTCATGAGACCATCACATGCTCGGCAATGATACTCAATGCTTAATGCCCCACATACTGGTGAACTTGTATCTATCCACTCGCAGTGCCGACTCAGCGCCGACGTGTCGGACGGGACGCTTGACGCCCCTCGATGAAGTCGCAGGTGAGCTCCGGTGTCGTGCGCGTTCCAGATTTGAGCGAGAAATCAGCTCCGGAGCCCACGCTCCGCTCCTGGTGCTGGATCCGCACGCCACTCTAGCGCTGTGGTCTATGTGAGCCCGCGAAATCAGCCACTTCAACGCCACTGACCGGTGTCGAGTCAACGCGGCCCGCCCATGCGCGCTCCGACATGATTCCGGAGCTCCACCACCGCAGCCAACCCGTTCCATCTCACGATCACGACCAGCGCTAATGACGCCTCGCTCTTCGATGTATGAGATTGTTTTACGCGGCAGCGTTAACCAAAAGCACCCAGCGCGTCGACGAATACTCACGTCACGACGCCTGTCGGCCGAAACTGCGACCAAAAACGGTGGAGACTTAAGTCTTCGAGCCTCGAAAGGCGATCCATGATTTGCTTCTGCGTTCGAGCAAACGAGTCGAACCCCGAGAGGCTGCAGTGGGAGGTTCGACGCACGCTCCCGGATCTCGTCCGGAGTCGTGCGACAAGCAGCTTCATCTCCAGGACGCGAGCAGACTTTGGGGTCATTCTCGCATTTGCGCTCACCTCGAGACCGTCCCGCGTCGCCATGCCGTACGAGAGCTTCAAGAGTTCGCAACTCGTGTCCATCCGCGGGCTTGTGCAGGACCGCAAGACCGGCACGTGGCGGTATTTGCTGCAAGTCACGCGCCACATGCAGGACGACACGTTCGAGAACGTCCGTCGCCCCAGCACCAAAAAGAGCGACGGCTCGTCCGCCTACGCCGCGCGCCCGTGCACGACGCAGTCGTACACGATCCGTCGCAGCTTCGAGGACTTTAAGCGGCTACACGAGGCCGTGGCTCCGCTCATGACGAAAGGTGGCAAGTCGCTACTGCCCAAGCTGCCGAACGACAGTCTCCTCACGTTTTTCGTCGGGGAGACCCAGACGGCGCTGCAGAAGAAGCGCCACGCGCTGGAGCGCGTCCTGGCGGCAATCGAGGCGCACCCGGATGCCAGCGAGGCTCCTGAATACCTTGAGTTCCTGGCCAACATCAACTCGTACGACGAGGTGGCCAAGGCCCCTCTGTCGCCGAGTATTAGCTCGCGTAGCAGCTTCAGCTTCAGCGAGGACGGGACCGTCACGCCACGGGACTTTGTGGGCCCGAACATGCTCACCACGTCGAGATCGGCCAACGCCCTGCGACGAGCGTATTACCAACAAGACGCAGACGAACGCGAGAACCACGTGCCGTTCTCGCACTTCAGCATGACCTGAAGCAAACAATTTTCAGCCTGAACAAAGTAAAGTGAACGCGTGCATGTACACAAGTAGAAAACTCTAGATCCAGTTAAAAGAACAAGTAAATTATGAGATCAGTCGCTCCGAGTTAACCTGCTCCAAGCCTCGGTGCAGCTTACGCACCATACGCACAACGTGTGGGACGGATCGGTAGCCGAGTCCACAGTTGGCGTTGTTGGCTTTCGCCACGCAACTTTGAGGCGTCATTCGTTTCCAGAAGTTGGAGATCAGTAGACGCGCGTACTCGAGCGTAGCCAACGTATAATGCCGCTCAAAAGCTTCAAACGGGTAGTTAAACGTGACGCCGAGCGTCTGCAGTCTCTCCTGTAGACGGTCGTAGTAGAACTGCAGCAGTTCCAGCTCACCCTCGTCGGTACCAAGCAGTGAGATGCTCACCGAAGTGTTAAGCAGGTTAGCGACGTCCATAGCGCCGAGACCCACCCCACTCCACTGCCAGTCGAACGCGATGACCTCTCGTGATTGCGTCTCGAAGAACAGGTTGGCGCTCTTGAAGTCGCCGTGAACTACTGTACTCAACGCAGCGTTGGCATCCACGGACAGACAGCTACTGATGTATGCAGCATGCTCGATCATGCGCTCTCCCAGCGATTCTAGCTCTATAGTCGACGGTAGGGAAGATTCGGCGTCGAATACTTTCTCCCAGTTGCTGAGCATCTGTGGCCAAATGTCAGACGCCTGTGCGAGCTCCTTCTCGCCTCGCTTCGAGAACGCCCACCAGCACGCCGCCGGCCAGAGCTCGGAACTAGCCTGGTTAACTAATTTCTCTTGTCCCCACGCTGACGCATGTAGATTAGCAAGATAACCCAATGCCTGACGAGTGTCTTCGAGCTCCAGACAGTCCGCAGCCTCGTAGTTGCCAAGCGAGGAGTCGGGAGATGTTGCACCAAGGCATTCTAGCAACATGACGAAGTTCTCAGGCTCTGAACACGTCGCTGTATCGCTAGCAACCAGGTTTCCCGTACAGTGGCCAGCAGCATCACTTTGAAACACTGCAAGCGGTCGGACGAGAGATACACCGCGAGACTGTAGCGACGACGCGAAATTGGCGTAGAACGTGGCCTCGGTGCGATATGAGGCGATGTCGCGCTTCCAGTGTGCCGCCGATCTCGCCGGCAGCTCGTTCCTCGCGGATTTCTTGAGAAACAGCGTCGTCTTGCTGTCGTTATCAGCGAAATGCACCTCCAACTTGGCCACAGCAGAGTGTTTGCCTTGGTGGATTGAACCGGGCACCACGTGCACCGCCGACACTTGTCGACCGGGGAAAACACAGTCTTGAAACCACTGCGGCGTCATCTCTCGACCGTCCAATGCACTGACAGAGCAAGACGCCGCAGATGAGCATACACCAGTGTATTTGGATGATAGCGCTACAGCTAGCTTCAAGTCGAAATAAAAAAAACTACCTCGTGAGGTTGACCTTGGCCATGGCGTTCAGTACGTTCGTGTGAGCCTCCGGTTCCACACACGCGATCAGGCCGCGTTCGTTGTCGAAGTCGGGCGCGTTGGCGATGTGGTCGTACACGTACACGTTGCCCTGCGTGTCGGTGAGTTTGCCGCCGAGTGCCTCGATCAGAGGCTCAACAGCACAGATATCCCACTTGCGAGTGGCCGCTTTGAACCGGAAGAAAGAGTCGCTGTGGCCGGTGATGACACCGAGCACCATCGTGCCAGTCGCACCGCCCGTCAGGACGTTAGAGGGCGCTAGCAACCGTAACGCGCTGTTCACCTGGTCGCAGTTGGTGGACGACACAGTGCAGACCAGCGGACGCTGCGGGAACATGGGAGATTGTTTAGAGAACTTGGCGTGTGTCGTCTGAGCCTCATTCTCCTCATGCTCACTGCGGAAGACTCCAACACCCGGACCACCTGCATCATAATAATAACAAACCTATTAGAACTCGAGTTCTAATGAACCAGCATAAGCTGTTAGCCGTCCCGTACCCCAGTAGGTGACGCCGTGTTTTCCGTGGAAGGGAAGATGCACGACGCCCGCGATGGGACGCATCTTGTAGGTGATGCCAATAAGCACCGAGACCTCGTCGTACATCTTATCGGCGAAGCGTTTGGTGCCGTCCAGTGGGTCCACCCACAATACGAGGTCGTCCCAGTTCAGAGTGTCGTCGCCGTCAAAGGTGACGCTGTCGAGAGCTTGCAGGTCGCACTGCACCGCATCTTCAGGTGCTGGAGGGGCGAGTTCGCCCTCTTCGCCCACTATGGTGATCTGGGGAAAGGCCTCGCGTAATGCGTAGATAATCCGTTGTTGAGAGCGGCGGTCAGCTACAGTCTGCGGGTCGTACGCGCCCTCCTGTTTGTTGACCATGTCGAGCGAAACTTGCTGCTGCACTACCTCGCGAATAACGCTGCCGCCGTGCACGCTGGCGGAGAAGCAGGCGGCCAACAAGGGACGCAACAAAGGACCGGACGTAGCGGCAGTCATGACGTAGCGAGAGTCTAAAGGGGGGAGCTGCAGCGCTCAATCCGGAATGGCTGGCTAGTCGGCATAAGACTGCGATGATGACCCGAAGGTCACAAGTCGCAGGCGACCGGCCACGTACGTCGCGTTTTCTAGACGTCATGAGATTGGTCAAAAACAGATTAGAACAGGATTTGATTGGCATAAAATGGGAAAACGGGGTTGGATTGCTAAGAAAAACAAATAAACAGATGGACACTCACTTGGAATTTGTACGATTGTCCGGTGGAGGCAATGCGCTTCACTCCATGACTTCGGTGGTGATCTGCTGTGGATGTTGCATTGCAACCCATGATGGTGTCGCCTTCAACGTGAGTCCTAGCGGATGCGATCTGGGTGACTCTTTCTTGGGATGTATTTGGCTTCAATTAAAGAGGCTATCCTGAAACGACCAACGTCAACGGGGTTGGAGCGCTGTCCTGTTGAAGGAACTCCGGTTCCTACGAGTGATCTACGCCAACTGGACGCCTCCTTCTCATGCCTGCGTGTAAAACATTCGCGTTATCGTAACCTGCACACGACACCATTTGCATTACTATGGTATTGTAGCGAACAATAATGTTCTCTGTAAAGCCTTGACAGTAGATCTCAACTTGTCGAAGCAATTTGGTTGACTTTTATTCATTGATGCTTGCTTATCTACTACTGCTAATCTACATTCGTGGTTAAATACTATCCTACGTGTGCGCGAACGTGCTAGTCGCTGCGATGGCGGCTGCTTGTTTGCTCACTCGCGTGGCTCACTCGCGTGTCAAAAGTTGCCCGAGTTGTGGTGGTCTTACGACGACATGACGGACGCCCGGCACGGCGCCGTCCACGCGGGGCAAGACGTCTTGCGGATCGAGCCCGTGCACTGACCCGACAGTGGAGCCATCACCTTGGCGCTGATCGACTCGTGGCCCAGGAATTCCAGCACGTCCGGCAAGTCGCGCGCCACCGGGTGGTTCAGAATGTCCATGACAATCTGGGCCAGAACCTGACGACGTTCGTCCAGCAATGCCTGGTTGTCCGCCATAATGAGCGTCATGAGACCGTCGGCCGGCAGTGGCGTCAATGCGTCACCCATGACCGGAACCAGCGCCGAGTGGAGCTGTTTGAACTCGCTGAAGCGCCGACTGATGACGTACTCGTGGCTGAAACCCTCCTCCACGGGTCCTCGCGGCGACGAGTGCGTGCTAGTGTTGCCGCGCTGTACGTGCAGCACGTACATCCACGCGTTGGTGGTCGTGTCCTGCACGACCTCGGTGATCTCCACCTGCTGCTGCGGCATGAAGCTCTCGTAGGGCATTGTAGCGGCGACTGAAGTTACTGAACTGAGGAAGATGTAGTGGTGGTGAAAGTATGCGGCAGTGCTGCTAGCCTTGTGCGTTGCGAAGCAAGTGTCTGCTTGTCTGAGCTGCTGGCTGAACGTTTTCCGCCGCAGTGATCGAAATGTGCAATGGCAGCCAAGTGGCCTCACGCCCAGGAGCTCCACGACCAAACAGACAGACGACAGCTAATCCTGATGGGCCATGACCGACAAGCGCGTCTCTCCGGCTGGTCGTCAGCTCGTTCGACAGTTAAAGTGGATTTTCGATTCTTTTTTGACTTGGCGTTTGTGAGTGAGAATGTCGCGGAATCTCACAACATTTGACAAACATTGCGAATCTGCCACCTTTAGCCACAAATTTGGCTTGCATCTGCGTCTGCGGCTAGGCGAGGCAGCGTGCTTGGCTCTTGGCATTGATGTTGCGGTTGTCGCCTCGCTACTCCCTGCCCTGCTCTCGCTGCTTTCGTGCGGCTCGGCTGGTGGCAGGGCTCCTGTCATACGGACCGATGAGGCCGGGGTTCCGAGCCTGAAGAAGCTCCAACAAGTCGCGAACTCCCCTACCTTTCTGGCGCTGGAATGCCATGACTGGAAGTACGATGGTCACGGTAGGTAACGGGGAGTTCCATAGTAGAACGCTCGCACATGGTCGTCGCCGAAAACTCGGCCTCTGCATCTGATGCAATTGGCAGGACACGCAAAGCACAACACAGTAATAGCCACGTGTTTCTAGAAATGGAAAATGTGGAAGCTGTTCTGGGTTCGATGGAGATACGTGGAAGGTATTTGGAAGGAGTAGAGTTGGGTAACAGACATGGGTAAACACGATTGGATCCTCGAATATCGAATTGATCCCAGGCCGAGTGAGTGCCTTCCTCTCGTACCTCGAGCAAACAGGCGCCGATAAGGGCAAGAGCTCCGCAGCCTGTTTGCCTTGACGGTGGACCCACTATCGCCCCATGGATGGTGTCGAGCTCATGGCGACGGAAAGCACCATCGGCAGCGTTGTGGAGGCATGGGCGGCACCCACCGGCCGGGCAAATCGAAGAAGGCACGCCATGCTGATACGGTGCACCCAAGTCTGGCGCCAGACTCTTGACAATCTTTGCACGACGTGAGTTTCGTGATGTAAACTTGCCGCTCCATCATCACCAGAAAAGTGTCAAACATGGGTTTGGTCTTGTAATGATAATCCTCGCTTGCGTTTTCGGGGATCTATCTTGATGCATACCCCTCATGTAACGGTGCAATCTTTGGATCCGATTCAACGGGGACAAGTAAAATCTTGGTGTTTTCGGGTTTTCCACATCTAATATCCTACGTAAGTCAATCCCAGTATTTTGATCGGGATGACAAGGATTCAAGTTAGGCAACGAAGAAACTTATTGAGAGATCCGCGTTACTTACTCGAAAGCTTGACGCCGCGCTCCGAGTTGCAACTCCACCAAAGTAGCAACGATCGTAGTAGATGGTGCAATAGCACCGTCCTATTCACACTGTTGCTAGCGCCGCAGCAATCGAAAAGCTGGTAGGCTACTGCGTTTAGCGCAACATTGTCTCCAAGACAGCCAACGTTGAATTTCCCCTGCTGCAAGGCTGAAAAGGTCTGCACCAGAACGTTTCGCTGTTGCCTGCCTGCCAGTTCAGAGAAGGACTCTCTGTAGCTCTCGTCCGTTATCTGTCCTCTCTTTGATGTCGCTCGTGCTTTCGTCGTCGTACGATCGGGCTTATGTCGCGTCATGCGGATTGACTCTATGTCCGGCGTTGGACGGTGTAACTTCAAATGCAAGGCTTCGTTGATTGAAGACGTTAGTAGCAGGAGCATGCCACGCGGCGATCGCTGCTTTCCAGCTCCTTGGAACTAGATAGTGACGGTGCTATCCACGATTTCCAATTGAAAAAGTTGACAAATTTGCCAGTATTTTGAGCGGCGACAGTGCCCAGCTGGAGCACAAATTCTGCTTCTTTGTGTCGCGTGGGGCTGCAGCAGTGAGAGAATCCTGGAGCTCTCGGCTCGATGCACATGGTGGACACACTGGCGTCACTCCGGCATGGAGCCCACATCTGGCAAAGGCTCTGCTGGTGCCCGACATCGCTTCGTATGTGAAAATCCATCCGAAAATGCAGCTTTGATATTTCGCGCTGCCTATTGTTACATTTGCCCGGCACGATTCTCCGTTTGGTGAGCCCGAGCTCTTGTCCAGACCGAACACTTGAGCCCCACGATGGGAACCCTCAGCATGTCACTGGGACTGCGGGCTCGATGTGTGGGTCTGTACATCCTGCCTGTCCAAATGTTCTACTAAGTGCAAGGCAAACCCCACAACACCCCGATTTCATCTTTACAATTCAAAGCGCGTGTAGTTGACGCGGATTCTGTTACTAATGACAAGAGCTGGGGCTGTGGCAATGGGTTTCTCCATACCTGCTGAATGTGTCGGTGACCTCAACTTGCAGGTCTTTGGCACGGACATCCTGCTGTTATTTTATGCCCACGCGGCCAGCACAGCCATGCTGGAGATGCCCATGGAGAACAGCGCGAGCTTCTCGGCGGAATTGGTCTCTTGGCTTGCGTTCTCTTCGGAAAGTTCGTGAAATGCCAAGTAGATGAAGCTGCCCGACGCGATGCTCAGCGCCACTGCCTCCATAGTCAGCGCGCTGCTGCCACGCAATGAATCGGACAGCACCATGCCCAAGAAAATACCCAGCGGCGTCATACAGCTGTAGAGCGTGAGCACAGCAATCGATCGCTGGTGCGCAATGCTGCTCTTGGCCTTGGCAAAGTTTGACCAAATGTCAGCAAGTTGCCACAATTTCACTTCAATATCACAGTCGTCTTTTGCGTTTTTTTTTCTGAATTTCAATAATGAAGCAATTTAGTGGTGGCTTTTGGCAACCCCTAATTGTGAAGGGACACTGCAAATGAAAAAAAAAAAAAGTTGCTCAAATTTGCCGATGGATGAAGATGGAACTTTGCAGGCAAGAGTGAAGCTTCTCCAGCGCGAGAAACAGCATAACATGACCAACCAATTGTCTGAGAACCTCGTGGAGCGCGTACGTCAAGTTCTGGCATTGTCCTGGGCATTGAGGAAAGCTAATAACTTGATTTTGTGGTGTTGCATTTCTTTCTGGTAGCTGCAACGAGCGACGCTTCATTGTCGAGGCAATGCAAAGAATTTGACCATGCCGCCAACTGAATTGTTTTGCCAGGTAAAATGTGATCTATGACTAACGGAATGACGAGATTTGTGGCCTCACGCAATTATTTGGTACGACAGGATACCAGAGGCCTGAAAATGAAGCAAGAGGTCGACTTACGTAACTTCACTAATGCCTCAAACGAATGGTTATTCACTATCGCGTCGCATCCTGCTGCAAATGGTAAGGACAGAAATCTCCTTTCAGAAATCATTGCTAACTATTTTTTTTCTTTTTTATCGAAAGGTTCTAGTACCTTTCGGACGCTTGTACTGGCAGGAACTTCCATCACCGACACTGGTATTGTACATTTGAACAAATTCAAATATCTGACCAGTCTCGACGTCTCTGGGTAAGGTGAAATCACTGAATGAATGAGAAACTGGTAATTTACAACTACTTTTTTTTTTTTAAGTTGCCACGCATTGACAGACGAAGGTTTGAACACCATCCGACGGCAATTGAATTTACTCCAAGTGCTTCGTCTCAACGAATGCCACCATTTTTCCAGTACCGTTCTCAGTAAGGTCTGGAAAGATTGCAAGCGTCTGCACACAATATCAGTTCGAGGCTGTCCAGGCGTGACAGACGCGTTCTTGCAATGTCTAGCAACCACAAAGCGACCATCAGCTGCATGTCTTCGCTCACTCGACGTACGGCAGTGCAAAAACCTCACTACGTCGGGAATTTCATATCTTACCAGCTCACCTGTGAAAGATATGAAGATAAATTACCTGGCTGTGGATGATTGTCTGAATGTGGATAATATGGCCTTCTTTGGATTCGAGACCAGCCCTGGTCTTCATTCCCTCACATCCCTGAGCTTGAGTGGACTTGGAATTGATGAGACAGCTATAAGTTGGATCGTTAAAGGCTGCGGAATGTCATTACAACGTCTCAACGTCGCGCGATGCAAAGTATTATCGGATTTTTCTTTACTACTCATGGCTCCTTTGATCTCCTCGCCTGTGTTTACCAAGCTGAACATGCAAGAATGTCCCCTTATCACCGATACAGGCATCAAGAACCTCTTTTCACTCGAAGAAGAAAAATACCGGGATACAATACTCGACGACGATGATATCTCACAAACTCATTTGACATGTCTAAATCTGAAAAACTGTTTGCACATTGGAGACGACGCCATGGTACTAGTTGGAAAATACGGTGGAAATCTGGTTAAACTCAATCTGAAGGGGCTAAGAAAAGTGTCGGATCGAGGAGTTATGGAGATCGCTAAAGGCTGCTCGTTGTTAAAGAATATTTCGCTTTCAGGACGGAATATCACATCACAAACTTTCAAACTATTGGGAAAAATGTGTCGAAAGTTGCAGGTTTTGGATATTTCTGAACGGCGAGATTTAGAAACACCTGCATGCTTCATGAACCTTCTATCAACAAAATCACATCCACTGATACGAATTGATTTGAGCGCCACAAATATTTGCGATACGGGAGTGAATGTATTAGCATCGG